GCATGTTAATATGTCATAACAATAGTAAAATGTAGGTTCGTTCCCAAATGAGGAGCGCAGAGAGGAGAAGGTAAATGTTCCTTCCTACCATTCGAAGCACCTCGGAATGCGGAATAAAATCCAAAAACGGTGTGGGTGGCGAACAGCTGCTATATTACGCATTCCACTGATTGATTATGAGACTATTTTTTTTAACATTCCAATTGTAATGAATGCGATTGATGACTGCTAAAGTATTTACGGATGGTAAGATAAAGATGCATTACACAGATTGTGTGACAATGCGGGAAAAAATGAATCTGTAAAACAAATTATACAAAACTAGTAAAGACGAAGTAAAGGCTTTTTAACAGCGTGGAGAATATGCAAAGATGTAGGCAATCTCGGGAAGATAACAAAGAGTATTGATTCTGCCTGAAGCATGCAAGATGCGAGATATATAAGGGTGTTAACTTGACTAAACACATTTCCAGAAATGTTTCGAGACAATATGTAGAAAGAAAAGGTTGCAATGAAACATCGCGAAATTTTCAATGTTATTTATAAACGAACAGGAATCAGCGATCCACAAAATAAGTAAAATAAACGAAAAACTTGCTGATAGTTGTCTGCAGCAACCGTATGTCAGTAATTCATTTTCATTATGGACAAGAATAATGGAGGCAAGATTAGACAATGACATATTATTTCTTGACTAGTTTGAAGTATTTGTTTACTGACCCTCTACACAATTATTCCTAGACTTGATTAACCCTAGACACATTTCAGTAATATAGGACACTTCTTCAGAATTACTACTCAATAGTCACGTTGCATGTGACCCCGTGTCATCATGGCGCTTCGATATATTTATATTTATATTTGTAGCGATATACACTTATATAGCGCTTAACCTTTAACCGTCCAAGAGGATATCTAAGTCTGAAGTGTTACTCTCCTTATCAACTACCACTGTTCTGACATACATAACTTCCCAATGATTTTGTAATTACTATCGATGTCAGCTGTCGATTATTCTCTTTATAGAACGGTAAGGGATTTTCCAAATTCGGAAAAATGCTCTCAATTGTATATATTTATATTTTGTATATATTTAATCATTGGACTAATTGCCTATATATTTAAGTATATATTTAAGTTTTTGTATATATTTAAGCGTTTTTGTATATATTTAACCAATATTTAAGCATAAACAACAGCTGTAACAGTCCAACTTCAAAAAAATCTCATCTTTGTAGAAGTCCAAAATTAATTAACTGCCAAATGGATGAGTATTCATTTCCTGCTGCAACAATTTCTCTTTTACAGCAGCAGCTACCTTCATTAAAGAATGGAAATTAAACAACTGAAAAGAAGAAACGAATGGCGCTAACATGTGAAAGTGGCAATTAGTCCAATGATTACAAAATAAACCACAGAATTTGGTTTGTTAAGAATTTAAAAAAAAAGAAAAAGAAAAAAGACAAGTAGATACTAATGGCACTGTCAACTAAATATATATTGATGGATAAAATGGATGGTTCACTTTAATATTCAGGACCAAAGTGATGTCTGACGCAAAATAATTCTGTTTGCATTAAGGGCGGCAACCTGAAAGTAGCCAGCCAGGTAACTGTTAGCAACTGAAAGGAAATGGAACGAAATCTGTTTTAAATATCAAACAGAAAGGAACAATAACAAATATAAACTGATTTAACTTTTAGTCCTTTGAGATATATAAAGACGGTAAAACGACTCTCAAAATTCTTTTTATTCGGGCAGATTCATTCAGACTTTTATGCATAACAGCCAGGTATATTAAGCATTACAAGTTTTTGTGCCCCCCCCCCTCTCCTTCTTCCCCTCACCGGGAATAAATTTCCAGTGGAGATGTCCACTGGAAAATGATGTTCAATCTCCGCCTTATGCACTGTCATGGATTCAGGCTGACTCGTGCAAGCGTAAATACTCAAACAGTAACACTTCGTATATCACAGCATAGGTGTCCTTCTCAAAATGTAAGCTAAATGAATGATAAAAAGTACAAGCTTTATTGGTTCAGGCTTCATTCATTTTTTTTTACAAAAAATGAGGAAAAGGTAAGGGAGATGTAGCAATGCAAGTAACTCATTTTTTTTATTCAAAAAAAAAAAATGAAACATCGAAGGAGAAAACTATAAAATGAAAACTAAGAAAAAAAAGTAAGCCCAAGACGCTTAATGATCGACAGAGAGAGAGGGAAAAGAAAGAGAGGAAATTCCTTTCTCATGCAATGCCTTAATTTCTAATTTTTTGCTATATTTTGTAATAATTCGGCATCATAGATAAACAATAAACAAAAGCACACATTATAGAGAGAAGCCATTTGCGCGAAAAATTTCACACTGAAAAGAAAATAAGAGAAACGCGGGAGGACAGAAGGATTCCTTTATTTTTTCTTGATATCAGCTGATGAGAGATGACAGTATCGCAGAATACCAAAAGGAAGTTCTTGAGTGCAACCTGTTAGGTCAACAAAGAACTTGAAACAGGAAATTTTTAAATTTTAGAAAACTCTTGAGAAGACTCACAAAAATGTCAAGATCATAAGACCATAGACAGATATCATTCGTAGTTGGCTCATGAATAATTCTTGTGGCCTAGGGAATTTTCTCATTCACAAGAGACGTGCACGTCTATGTGATGCTGACATTTATACTGATGCATCTGTAACGAATAACACTATATATATACATATATATAATGATAAAAACGATTCGATAGAACACCCCTTTAGGTAATGCACTGGAAGTATAAACGTATCGGAGAGTACGATAAGAAATCATGATAACAGTACTCATAATCGCAGCATAATGATAAGCATTTGTTACATGCCAGTCATTACAATGATCTTGATGACTGCTACAATGTCACCTCGCTACCAATGCAGCCCCGCTTCTGTCTCAAGTGGTTCGATGTCAATATTTAAACCTATGGCAACTATTGGCAGAAAATCAATCTATCATTTTCACGGGAGCAAAAATGAACAGAATATTCGCCCAAAAGTTATTTTTTTGGGACAAAGATACGGAACACCCCTGAAATATTTAAGATGTCTATGTTTCATTCAGTATTACCAATCAAGAATTGATCTATACATTCTAATCAATATCTGGCATATACATATGTATTTGTAGAAAGGAGGAAATCAGAACAGATTTTCTAATATTGAATTGCAGAGAATGTTTGCGTATAACATTGACTTGTTACTAGGCTGTTTCATTCTTATTAATCCTTAATTAAGACTTGTCAATACTGGAAGCGATTGAGGCATAATATCAATGAAATGATTTAAATAGAAATTTGAATAAAAGTATTTTGATTACAACTGTATTCAACGGGAACATAGGGCCAACTTATTAGGCCATTTATATTGGTCACTACAAATTTGTGTGGACGAATTGACAGCTTTCCCGGTTTTAACTTTTGTCTGCTCCCAAAACATGACCAATAGAAAACTCTCAAATCGAATTGAAAGAAGGAGACGAGAATCACTTTAAACGTTATAATCAAATATTCCCGCTTTTCCTAAAATATATTTTCTTCTTTTCTTCCTTCTGCTCCCAAAATACGGCAATAGGAAATTGTTAATCTTTGAAATTGTTAATCGGAAGATAATTAAGAAAATGACCCGTTTCAGTGCATTATCATCCTGAAGATAAAAATAAGATCTATTCATTCACTTTATGTTTTGCCAAAGAACAAAAGTCACTGTCATATCGAACTAAGAAATTTCATTTAAACTAGCTTAGTTCCCTATCCTCACGAAACCTTGCTACATTCATCAATCAGTTTCTTTTTTCAAAGAAAACTAGTCTTGAAAAATACCTTCAACTATTGATTATCACTAAAATGATGGGAATGTGAAGTATCTCTTCACAAACTGACAAGCCATGCAAGAAGTGTATTAAAGGGGAAATTTCAAACTTCTTGATGATTTTATTAAATCCAGAAGTCTCTCGTTCAATGAACCAACA